AAAGCAAAAGAAGGATGATGGGAGCCATGTATTAAGCAGCGCTTTGAGATATCTTTGACATTCTGTTCATGTCAGAGGGTACTGGCAGAGGCCTTTGTGCACACACCAGCTTGCTGGCTCAATTATGAAACCCAAACATCAAAACTGTGGGTTTTTCTTTCTTCCACAGCTGAATAAAATTCAAATGACACAGAGCAATCTCCTGTTCCTGATTAAAAAGGTGCCGGGTCCTGAGTTGCATGGAAAAATGCAGCATTCTATTCAGCTAGTTCCAACTTTTATGACGTTTTCAGATATGAATACGTACACAATGTGGTTGAACAACGCAGCAGGAGCTCATGCAGACAGAAGTGTTCACAACAACACAGGAATCTCCAGAGCGTTTAGGTGAGGGGTGGCATGGTATGCAGGAGACAGCACATAATGTATAAATCCACAGCGGAGATCAGGTGTTTTTGTTAATAGCTCATTGACATCAGCGTATAGGCTGTTATCACCAAAACGTCTCAATTTTCGTTGTCTTTCCAATCCCTTTGACATCTCCATCTGTGTTTTCCACCTGTATGGCTTCCTGTCTCCATCCTGATATTTTATTTGTAATTTTTAATTTTTTTTGTGTGTCAGAAATGGCAGAATGTCCAGAGCCTCTCACTCAGACATTTGCGTTCTCACATAATTTTAGTATGTGGAGATCAGTGCATGTCTGACAGCAGCTAAACATGGAGACAAACTAACCAACAATATGTATTTCCAAAGGATGATGTACAGTTTCAAAGGCTTCAGTCAATAAAGATAGCCAAAGCTTAAGCCCTTTAGTCTCTTTACACTGTGTAAACCCTCCCCTCAGCTTCATCATTCTTTAACTGGGGATGTTAATTGCTTATTTAATGGCTTCTCCTGGACTGGTACTGAGTGAGACAAGAGGCCAAGGATGGCTCGTGTCACCCCGCTTGGAAGACACAGAGCTGGACAGGGCATAGCACAACCCCATTGACCTGGCAGCTGGAGGCTGAATGAGATCATCAGCCTTAAGGGTCGGCTCGCTCTGGCAGAAAGCAGAATGTATGCATTAAGTAAAACAAATGATAATTTCCTCCATAGTCTGCAAAGCACTTAAGAGTCATTAGCGTGAAGATGAACTAAAACATCCCTGTGGAATTTGATCATTATTGCATGTGCAAAATGGAATGTATTGGGTTTATACTGCTCTTTCTGATCTTTAGCTGATACAGACATGGAAGTTGACTGCAGGCAAAAGCGTATGGTTCAGCCCAAACTTTTCAGCACTCCCAAAGCTTCTGTGCATCCTCATATTTAGCATTGCCTACTGTTCTCTACCAGTGTTTTTGTTTTGTTTTTTGGAATGCCTCTCTAAATGACAAATAGATGCAGGTTTTCCAGTGCTTCATTATTACAATCTACCACCTGGAATTCTTGAGCATCAGGATCAAGTCGTTTCGCAGCATTTAAACGTAGCGCACGCATTTTGGCCAGAAAATGTCAGGAGTGCTTGTCGTGTTCCCGTACTCCATAGATGCTGTGTCATATTTGACCTTTTCCCTCCATCACTGTCACGGCCACTCATGTCTCTGTATCAAGCAGGCACTGTACACCTGGAGGACCGACAGACTGAACAGCAAGACGGCACATTGACAAACTGAGGGGGGGAACAACCTTTTGAATGAAGATCAAGTTGCCGTTTTCTGTTGTCGGTACAGATTTATCAGCACCTTGTTAGTGGAAACTTACAAGTGCAAGACATGCTATTACCTGCAAATTGCTGATGCTGTGTGTTCCTGATGAAAAACCCTTAGAAAATACATTTTTTTATGATGCATTGTTTTATTTAAAGAGCATAATATATAAGTGGGAATTTAAGCTTTAGAAGTATGTAGCTGCTGGTTCCAACACCAAATATAAAGTACAGATCTCTGTTATAGGCCTAGATTGTCAGGCAACACATGACACATGAAACTTCTCTATTGTCCTCTCCCTCTTCATCTCAGCAAAGTCTCATCAATGCTGACTTGACTTCCTTTCAAATGTCCTGCTTTATCCTTGCAGGTCCAGGATCATGGTTGTGTATCGTGGATCATGGTCCATGGTGGCATATCCTAGAATATGATTACAACTAGATAACTGAGATAGACAATATACCTATATTTGCATATTCTATCATTACTGGCAATACCTCTATCGTTCCAATTGTCAATGCTTAATTTAAATATTGATACACATGATTGTTGCAACTTTGGTTATTTTGTTGACGAGCTCTGCTACACGCAACACATTTCTGTCTATCCTGGGAGAATGATCCCCAACTTGAAGCTCTCTATGGTTTCTTTGCTGATTTTTTCTCTGATTCTTGGTAGTTTTTGCTCACTTCTTGATGGTTATGGGCAGGTGGCAGAGGATGACATCTCATTAACCCCTACGAGCAAAAGTATGATTTGTGAATATGGGCTATACAAAAAATTGGTCCATAAAATCACACAACACTTTTTGCATGTATAGCAAACTACAGAAACTCAAACTGAAAAAAAGATCCAGTTCCAAGAAATCATTGGTGTAAATGGAGCACAAAGAAGAGAATACATTCAGAGGTTCCCGCTCTGTGTGCTGCATTCATCAGCTTTAATTTCATTTGATCATAGAAAGCAATCAATAGCCCATCACAATGTTCCCCTATTAATCTCAGATCTAAATCAATTCAGTTTGTATTCCTGTGCAAACTCAGGTATAACAAGATTCTCCACACAATTGTAGGCATACGCTAAGTGCACAATTACCCATTCAGCACTGGGCACTCACTCACATATATAAACGAGCTGTCAGAAAGCCACAAGAAAACTAATTGGATTGAGGAAAAAATGAACAAGCGTTTTGTCGTTTGGTCAATACTGACAGCATGGACTGTGAGTTTTACATAAAATCTACTTAGACTTCGGCAATAGCCAGTTGACATGGCCTCTGGGGGGAGGGTTAATACAATCTCTGTTGTTTTGCTTCCATTCTCGTCTCAGTTTTAAGTAAACACATTTTCGAGTGCAGTGCAGTGTTAAAAAAAAAAGAAAAAAAGCAAATTTCAAAGCGAAGAGGTCCCGCAAGGCTGCTTGATTGAAATAGGTGGAAAGCAGACGTGATCATCACAGTCTAAACCCATGAATTACACACACACACGCCCACATACACTCCTCTCAGGAGTCTTCAGGAAAAAGTCAAGTAGCTCTCAGAGTCAAAGCTTGTACAACAAAAGCCTTGGTGCGCTAAAGAGAGTAACAACCTGATATGATGACGCCTCAAGAAAGAATAAGGTGGAGAAGGGAGACATTTAACATCTAGCAGGACCGTTTATGAGTCAAGGGCTAATAAGTATACACCAAATTTGCATCATATTCCATATATGAATGAGATAATTAATTACACAACATCAGATATCTCAGGAGAGGAAACGATGGCAAAGTCAAATCCTTCACTTATCCTTTGATGGTCACATGGGGCCTGGAGACAATCCCAGCTATAACTGTGTAATATGAAAATGTTGATATTGTCTGTGTTGCTGTGGAGACACTAACCCCGCTTTATTATTTTATAAGGTAATATTATATTATTATTATATTACTCAGGATAATGAGTTCATAATTAAAGGTTTAACAACCAGAGTTTGAGCTTTTGGACATTAAACAGAACAGGTCGAGGGTGAAATGTTTTGCTTAAGGGCACCATGACAACAGATGACAAAACAGGTATCACAAAGTCTTCCTAGAAGCTGCAACACTAGTGGCTCATGATACACATCTGAAAGTCAGAGTTTCAGGTCTTGAGTATTGATCCAAAAGTGTTTGCATAAACATTTTAAAGATGCATTAATTCAATCTTTTAGCCTATGGGAGCAGCAAACAAAGTTTTTTTTTAACTGTTATCACAAAATGTAACATGTTGTACTCTGCTCCTAATGTCACTGAAGCAAAAAACAAACTGTAACAACAGTAAGGACATAGCTGGGGAAGAAGGCAAATAAGATTGTGGGCGACCAGAGGCACCCACTCCTCAGATGAACTGTTACCATCTAGACAACATTATTGTCCCTCTCTGTTAACCAGAAATAGATCCAAATATTTATTTGTTCCTCAAGCAAGTAAGCTCTAAAACAGGTGATACAACAGCAGTTTATAAACCACTTATTCTGATCACCACATTTGGCAACAAAGACTGTCCTACCTATCCCTGTACACCTTGGTCCGTTTTGTTCCTGTGGAAGTTCTTTATTGTGTGTGCGAGAAGGTGCCACTAAATGTGTGTAAGGATTTACCGTATATTTACTGTTAACACACACTGGTTATAATAAACAAAAGTATTTTTTGTAGTTTTTAAGTGTAGAAATCATGAGAAGTACCTTTAAGTTGGAGAGTCTTACTCAGTATCTATTGACGTTATAAAACACTGATGGATTTGAGATCATTCAGTGTGGCTAACCTTCAACCTGCCAGTCTCACAGTGGCTTTAGTACAAACTTTAGCTAAAAATACCACATGACTGAATGTATTAGGGCTCCTTAGAAAGTTGATCAGGTATTTTTCTTCAGACTGTAATTTTCTCTCAACTTTGTGACTTACAGCTCGCTGTGGTTTGATTCATTCTTCTGATTCATTTGACGTCAATCCTCCTCCGCTAACAGATGTGAGGGACAAATGAGGACTGCTGGAGGGTTAAATCAAAGCAACTTCATTCCCATGGAGAAGTTCCCAGTGGCCTAGCAATTTTTCAGCTCTGACTCTCAAACAAAGACTCACAAGTCATTATCACGTTGGTAGAGGTACAGCAGGTGGCAGAAACAGAGGTTCTGACTTCTGAATATAAGTGCAACTTGAGCATTAGTCCACACTGGGAATACAAAACTAATGTACGCACTGTGCATTAGCTGAATACGCAGTGAATATTTGGAAAAGTATGTAGAGAGAAACACAAAAACTAATCTGCACACAAACACGCACACTCACACAGATAGTAGCAGGTGCTCTCTGTTGGATGTGGATGAAGACAGATGAGCAGTGATCATTCTCATTAGAGTGGTGATGAGCTCCCGTGAAGACGTACACCTGGACCAACGCACACCTGGGGAGACAAAAAGAAAGTGCATGTGTGCATGTGCCTGAGTGAGAACAGGAGAAGAAAGAGAGGAACATATTAGAGAAGCAAAATGAAAGCAATTGACTGAAATGAAAGGATGACTGTGCCCCAGCACATAAACATTTTTGATATCAAATGACATCTATAGAAAAAACTGTTGTTAGTCAGTCCAAATCATTTTTCCTACTATTACAACATATATATCGGCAGCACAAGATATATCTTCATCCACAGCATTCAAACTATCACTCTGCAGGAGCACTCCCTTTATCTCTGATGAACCTGTCTCTAAATGACTGCGGCTGCACAAACGCATAGCAAAAACCATTTAATGTACCTCACTTAAGCCAGTGTCTGCAGCATAATGGTCACTGTCTGCCCGGGTGTTTGTTTTTCAGAGATAAGTCTGTAGGAGGAAAATGTGTTTGCTGACACCATCTGAGGCAATCCTGAGCTTTACCTTGGTCAGCCACGGCAAATATATCATTTACAATATCACCACTGAATCCAGTTATACGGTGCACTGTTCAAATGTGCATCTGAACCTGGTGTTCCACAGGGTTACTTTCTTTCTCTCTTGTGTGCATTGTTGTACAGGAGCTGCATCAGTTAAACAGAAGATTTAACAACCTGCTGCCCCTCCCCAAGCTTCCCACGTGTGCACGAGATTGATAAGAGTAGGTGGGACAAGGTCGGATAGGGAATGACCTAAATCGCTTGTTGATTGACGGATGCTGTCATCCAATTCCATTAGCTTTGTTCCCACACACCTTGGTGGTTGCTAATTTAATCTCAGCTCTGATAGAATGTAATTTGGTTAAAAAGGGGACCTTATTAATATTTCCTGTATCATTTTCAACCACTGATGGGCAAAGGAACTTTCATTACAGAGAGAAATTACACAGGCAAAATGGCACGTAAATGGGGAGACAGTAAATGGGACCAGAAAGAGATGTATGGGGGCTTGGATGCAATAGCCGACCTTGTTAGCTTCAATCAGTAGCCTCGAATATACAGGAAAAAAAGACACACATTTGCCTACATGTGCAGAAAAGCATATACAGTGCATGTATACAGCAATACAAACCCACACACACAGCAATTCCCTTATATTGAGATGCAGTCTATAGACTAGAGGATGTCTGACAACCATTAAGCTGTCAACAAACATAATAAGCATCATAACAAAAGAACATAATCTAAAAGGCTAAAGGTTCCCAAGAGAGAGGAATATCACCCTCTTTCGCACTGAGAGCACTATTCTCCCCTTCCCTCATTCTGTAGGCCAGAGCTATTACACTGTCTTCATCTGTTGGTGCTCCTTCTCCTTCTTCTCCTCTCTTTATCCTTCTGTCTGAGCCGCTTACTGCCAGAAGAAAGGCAGAAACAGCCATTTAACGGCTGACGTGTCACACATCTGCACATTACATACAAATACTGTTCCCATTTGGGTATCATTTTTATCCAGGCTAGTTGGAAGAAAGCACTCCTGGGTGTCAGTGTGTGCTACGGTATTCAAAGGAAAAAGCAGTGAGGAGAGCAATATTTGGCAAGCACAGTTGCACTTATGGTGTTTTCCTGCCCAATACCAACTTTGATATCACTTTAACACCAAAACTAGCGAGTGTATGTGCGCGCTGTGATCCCACGTGCTGGGAACCAACATGTTGGAAACCAACGCACCAGAATCCAACATGCTGGAAACCAACCTGTCGGAGACCAACGCACTGAAATCCAAAGCAATGGAAGCATGAAACAACAGAAGAGAGCAACATGAAGACCAGAGACAATGTTTACACTTTTACATGTTTTACTCTTTCAAACGCAACAGCAACAGGAATATTTCATATAGCTCAGAAATTCTTTGTGAGACATAACACTGAGCCAGAAACGGTCTCAGCGTCTAGACTGCTAAATGAAAGAAAATGTATCGACTGCAGAGTCATTTGACCCGCGAGTGACTGTCGACTGCATCTATTCCCATTTCACACGAATGCCGGATGTAAGTGGGTGTTAGTTATTTATTTCCAGTGGAAAAAGTGCTTGAGTCAAAGACAAGAATTACATTTTACGCTGGTGTAGTTGTGGAGTTTAGGGATGATGTCTCCAGAGTACAAACAATTTCTTACAAATTGAATAGGTTTAATAACAAGCTTGGTTCATTCACATTAGAGACCGAATCAAAAGCAATGAATAATGACTGATAAAACTGCCTTAAATATAGAGTGTTAGTTCCTTTACTATTATTAGTTCTCTTGGTGTCATAGGGAGACACAAAGACTGACATCTACACCTAACATCTTTACATCCTTTCCACATGAAAGCCTTGTGAACTTATCAACTCTTGTATCATCTGCTTATATAACACTGCTAAGGGAAAAACCACTTGCTCTCAGCATGTCACTAATTTCTGGCAGATTACATTTAGCAAGTCTGGCATACAGTTTTGAAATGGCGTCTGCTTTAATTTCCTGCTGTAATACTTGCGGCGCCTGCTTCCTTCCCAGCCTCAGGCAACATCCTAAACCCTCCTGCTCTGCACAGCTCCCATGTCCCCCTGTCTTCTTCTCCTGCTCTCTAGCCTCACCTCCATGCCCTAACTGCACCTCTCCTCCTTCCTATCACTCACTTTCTTCTTCTCCCCTCCCTCTGCATCGTTCTCTTCCTCCCTGCCCCAGGCCACCCCTCTCCTCCAGTCTCATTCAGCCTTTTGGGATAAAGAGAATACAGGGGATCAGCTCTGCTCAGTGACCTTTGCAGGTGGCCTTCAATCTAAAGGTATGGCAGGGGAGGCAGAGCTTAGAGAGATTTACTGGGGTTGCCTACGGGGGAGAGAAGGAGAGATTTCTGCTGCCAATCCTCCGGAGGTGGGAGAAGAAAAGAGGAGAGAAGAGATGCTGGGGCGGGGGAGAGGAGAAGTGCCTGCTGGTCATAGTGGTTCAGTGACCATTTGTATCATACCTGGAGACTCTGACCGCTGAGGAGAGACAATAGATACATTATAGAATTGCATAGATAGATACTTGGGGAGGAGAAAATCATAGCGAAATATAAAATTTGAAAGACACATGGTTAAGAGGTGAAACAAAAAGGTTCTTCCTTGTTCATGTCTATGTGATTGTAGCTATAATACAGTAACACCAAAATTCCTGTCAACTATGGCAGGTTTGTGTTCAGTAGGAATGAGAACAGACATTATTTCCTACCATTGGGACGGATGAAGGTTAATGCTGAAGAAATCACCGTGTGTGTGTGTGTGTGTGTGTACAAAACTGTCCCATGAGGGGTCCCCTTGCAGGTGGCTTTTAATTTTGGTCCAATTTGCATATATCCAATCAGGTAGAGTAATTGGGAGTGTGTGTGAGATAGTGTGACACACACACACACACACACACACACAAACACACACACACACACACAGAGGGCGATGGTCCATCCCAGGATGCAACAAAAATTTGCAGCAGACGAGCTGATGACACTGATAATTGTGACACTGATTGATGGCTCTAATCAGCAAAAGTATCTTCCTAATCAATTGACCTTCCCCCACCTCCTCCTGTCTCCATCCCCGTCTTCTAAACAACTCCTTGTCCCCACATGAAAGACGACCACATCGGAGATGAGCATGAATAGCTTGAATTACAATCATTGACCTTGACAGGCAGCGGTGGAGGAAGCACAGCGATAAGAACCACAAAGGGTGAAACACAAGTTCCCAAACATGGAGCTGGATGAATAAGTGAGGCCTGTCACTGATTTCAAATATAAGCTTCGTCAAAAGATACATTGTGCTGATGTTATAGCAAATAATTCTTATTTGTTTTACGATAATTTAACATAATTGTTTACTAATTGCAACAAACATATTTTTCTGTTCCTACTCTGTATTCCCATCCAACAGGAGAGGCTCACACCTGCAGCCATACTGTAGAACTGTAGCACGTCATTTACACATTATTTCTGTCCAATGAAAACCATGTATCTCTACATTTGCTATATATAAGCCCTCTCAGTGTTTGGGTCATCCATTCTGGGTCACTGTTGACTAATGCAACATGAAGGGCTCAGGGGAAGAGGACCCATGGAATTACAAAGGGCTCATGCTAACATAAACATTCTGATGTTTTCATTTCATTTCTTAAATGTAAACCATAACTAATCTGTTAGTGGTTGGATCTTATTAACTCTATATTTAGTTAAATATAATTAGTCAAATGTAGCATCACCTATTGTTCATCCTGAACTCACCCTAAAGGTCCACAGCATTAATTATGAAAGCTATTGATATATAGGACAAAAATACTGCAAATATGTTTAGTTGGAGATAAAATATTGGAGGAAACATAACAAACAGATCACAAAAACTAATAAGGAACATATACATATTATATTCAGCATTTGTCCTTCAGAAAGTATGGACTGCTTATCTTAGCATGGATCAGTCAAAAAAGGGCTGAACCACAATGAGTGATTCATTCCTGTGTAAAGTCTGTTGTGTTCTATTCACATAATAACAAGGAGCTCACTCCTTCAGCTCCCCTTTTGGACACAAAGTGTTAGAAACACAACCTACTACAATATTCACCCTTGAGATTCTTCTGCTCGTTAAAACTGCGCTTATTGACAATTTATAGTCTCTTTGATGGCACAAATGTACATCTAAGATCAAATTTGCAGAGGCGTTTTAAGAGCATCAACGAAGTTTGCATTCCTTCTATTCATTCTAGCTCTGTGGTTCAACTGCGGTTTCTTCCTCTCAGGGTATGATGAAAAATGCATGCGGTTGGAATGACAGCTAATTTTGGAGAGAGTGACAGAGTTTGTGGATTGTAATACTCTGGAGGAGCCTAATCAAAAGGAGAAGGGCCGGCTTGAGAAGAGAGAAACACTGAGAAAACCCGTAATTACCAACAGCCAGGCAAATGGGCCATCTACGCACACAACCACTTAATTGGTAGTTAGGTTTTTCTGTGGAAAAGCACAAA